TGCTAATTTTAGTACCGTAAGTAAGTTTTTTAGTGGTCAATTAGGTCGTGTCTTTAATTATGTGACCACCACTATATATATATATGTATATATATATATATATATATGTATGTTTTTGTGTGTGTGTGTGTGGGATGCGTGCGCTGCTCCGTTCCCCTATGTGCCTATGCCTGCTCCGCCTAATGTTAGGTTATTTATGAGTTGTTTCTCTTCAGATGTGTGGTTCGTGCATAGATTTTTTTTTGTCATTTTAGATTTATCCAAGATGAGGTGACATTTAATTATATCCCTTATCACAAAGAAAATCTCAAAGATTGTAAACTTGTTGGATTTTATAGCTAACACGAGCCATTTTAATTCCATGTGATTGATCTATAGTATATTGAGATATAGTAGATCAACAGATATAAAAATTCGAAGATAATAAACACTCATTAAATAATTATTACATTGATTATTCTCGATTGCTTCTTACTTTCTATATTATGCAAATCGCAATAGATTATCTAATTAAATTAAGATAAAATCGTATTTACAGTGTGAGTTCCACAGGAATCAACATTAAGTCTATCTGTGTTCTACATGATCTAAAGATTTAACTAGAGGTTTCCTCCCCTAATAGAAATAGCGGAAAAGTTATTCATCATTTTTGACATTATTACAACACACACAATATCTCACATATACACACAAACACATACACACTCACACACACATACAAACACGCACACATTAATTAATAACGTTTTTGTAATCATCCGGGGTCTCGAATCGAACCACTGCCTTTCATAACACAGGTCTTACGTAGCATGAAAGTCAGGGGTCCTACTTATAAGACTATAAGATAGCAAACCATTCCATGTTTATTTTAAGATCATATTGTAGTAGTACTTGTAAGGTTTGTTGAATAAACATTATTATTATTATTTTTATGTTAAAAGGGTGGCAAACAAGCTCATATATCCCGGCTGATGGTAATCAGTCACCAATAGCCTATAGACACTTGCGATACCAAAAATATTACTCTTGCCGTTACCAACCCTGACCCAATCCCCTACCCAGTGGTGCCCTGGAACCTTACTCACAATAACATCAAAAGCTAGTGAGTGTTTGGAAGGTGGAGGTTAATTTCCAGTAGAGGAAATCTTAATCATAGTCAAAATAATTTGTTCAGTTTAGGCTGTTACAAGCACTCATGAATGTCTAGAAGCTACGCCATCGGTTCGTAAATCTAAGACGGAAGACGTTGTTCTGTCAAGGACCGGCAAGAAACTCAGCAAGGTCTGTTTTTTTTCTCCCTGTTTTATTATTTACAGTCTTCAAGCTGAAAAATGACTTCCGAGGTGATTCATAAAGTCACCTTTCATTACATAATATAAAATATACATTAATTGTTGACCTGCATTTTGATTGCTGTCTCATACAGTATAAATACAAATAGTGTTATTTACAATAAGTGTATCTAGACAATGATGTCGATTCTGGCATTATTCTCTAAAGCTAAACTTTGACAACAGTGCATCCCTGTCATTCTCTATACAGAATGAAAAGGAGAGACTGATGTTAAATTTAGTTTTAAGTTTAGAGAATCACGCCAGAATCGACACCACTAACATCTTAAATTTTAAAGTAGTTAGGGCAGACTCATCATCTCTGGCAGCACTCGTTTACGAACATGGCGCATGAACCAACCATCGCTTCGCTCAACCATATTTTTGGGAACGTAACGACCCGCCTAACACAACATCTGCTATGCCCTACCACTCTTCAAGATCCATCTTGCTAACTAGAAAGCGCGGATAGCATGTCTATGGATGATGGATTTTGTTTTCATACACACTGATATTCATTATGACTGTCGCATTCTTTTTATCAGCTTTTAGTACTACTATATTCTTGTTCTTGCGAAGATCTTACAAGGCAACTGATTCGGAAGAAGTAATGTTCGGTCTTGGTGTCCTTCAGTCCAAATTAATTCATTATGCAATAGGATAATTTTAGTTCAGAAATTATGATGAATGACAAGATAAGTATTGAGATTTCAGACAGGTAGTGCACAGAGGATTTTCCGCTCGAATGGAGCGCCTGTCTGGAGAAGCACGCTCCACCTTACAGAAGACCACAGTAAAAAAAAAACGACGGGTTGCACTCCGGGAGTGCCGGCAGAAGTGAAAACTTGAATATTAACGTTGTGCATTTTTGATTTTTTTTTTTCGACACTCACACCAATTAGCCTAGCCCCAAAGTAAGCACTATAAGGCTTGTGTTATGGGATACTAGGGCAACGGATAGACTACATATCGATGGTATAGCTCACAGATGTGGTAAGTACGTTTTTATTGAAAATTGAGTTAAGTACACAGAGTTTGCTCTTGTAACTTATATTTTATTGTGCACAAATGTGGTGAGCGTATGTTGGTCCGGTTATGATCTACTAATGTACTAAGTGTGATAAATTCACTACAAATTAAAATGTTGTAGCAGTCAATTGTTGCATGTGCCCTTACCTCATTCGGCTTTCACAAGCAATTTACAACTTAATTGTACAAATGTGATATGTGGCACTTTGCATATTTTGACACCTAAACCTGCAACCCAGACGTTCTGTCATAATTTTTTAAATTTGTATAATCTTATTGAGTTTAATAATGCAACAGATTAATGCTATGCTTCCAAGATTTACTGCAGCACTCGAGAGACGCCAGTTAACTTAAATTGACAATTAAATCTCTGTCTCTTATTTATGTCTAGTCTATACTAATAATTATAAAGAGGAAAGATTTGTATGTATGTACTGAATTAACTCAAAAACTACTGTAGCGATTTCGAAAATTCTTTTTTAGAATGCTACAGTATCCCTGATTAACATAGGCTATATTTTATCCCGATATTCCCACAGGAATGGGTACCACGCGGGTGATCCGCTAGTATAAAATAAATAGAAAAGATATTTAATTGCCAATTAAATTTAACTGGCGTCTTTGAGTGCGGCAGTTTGACTGGAAAAAAAATTTGAATTAAATAATTTTTAATACATCATAAAAAGGTTTTTCTTTTCTCTAAAAACCTAATATCAAAGCAGTCAAATGTGGTATGTACAATAAAGAAGTACACAGAAGGGGTAAGTGCACACCCATAGGTAATTAATTGAAACTTAATCATTCAAATTTTATTTTAATTCCTCTAGTTACATATATTATGTTAGCCAATGAACTTGTTTACAGGTACATCTAAATATAGCCGCTACAACTATTAACGCCTAAATATACCAGATATCCAAACTTTAAAAACGCTATTGTGTAAAAGTTACTTTATTGCACATACCACATCTGTGAGCTATACCATCGATATACTGTACATATATAAGTATATTTATATAAATACATATTAAACATCCATGACTGGAGTACAAATGCTCGTATTCATCACACAAACATCTGCCCCCACCGGGATTCGAACCCGGGACCTCTCGAGTCAGCGACAGCCATGAAACCCGGCGTACAAACCACTCGGCCACGGAGGTCGTCTGATGGCCGTCGGTGGCCATTCGAATTTGGAATGGTTAGGGAACAATTTTGCACGAATTTCTTTAATAAGAATACAATATTTATTTATTGCGCTATCGTACACAAACATGACAATTTATATTACATTAAAAATTTTATCTCTCAGAATTACTCATTTAAGCGCACCTAGCGACATCTATTGTAAAAAAAAGTGCATTTTCTTCGCAATAAAGCTGTCACCTGGACGTCCTAGATACAGACTTATTATTATAATACGATAAAATAATATATTACTATGATTCGTCCAATGTATTGCAAGTCAACGATCTTTCCAATTTTATTGTTTTCCTCTTACGAATTTTCCATTTATAATACGATAAAATAAAATATTACTATGTTTCGTCCAATATATTGAAAGTCAACAACCTTTCCAATTTTATTGTGTGTCATGATGCGATCAGCCCACGTGTTTAACCTGACGCGAGTTTAACATTTTTCACCCATGCAAAAAAAAATTGTACAACGCCGCTAAAGAAGTTTTCACTTCAATAACACAAAATTTTGGTGATGTTTTGTTTCTACTGGTGTGCAGGGTTCTAGGGCTCCACAAGGCCTCGAATGAAAAAGAGATACCTAATGAATACATTTGACGCATTGATACCCTTTATGCCGGCACTTGACACGGCTGTTCGTGTTTATCATTTTGACAGCAGGTGGTCCTTGTCATAGGGTGCGGCCAGAGTGCACTCAGATTCAGATTCAGATTCTGAAAACAAGCGCGAGAAATAAACAGTGTAGTCGAAGGGTGCGGCCAGAGTGCACTCAGATTCAGATTCAGATTCCGAAAACAAGCGTGAGAAATAAACAGTGTAGTCGAAGGGTACGGCCAGAATGCACTCCTGATTCAGATTCAGATTCAGACTCAGAAAACAAAGCGCGAGAAAAAGCAGGCAACCTGCTTAGACTACACTGTTTATTTCTCGCGCTTGTTTTCAGAATCTGAATCTGAATCTGAATCTGAGTGCACTCTGGCCGCACCCTTCGACAACACTGTTTATTTCTCGCGCTTGTTTTCAGAATCTGAATCTGAATCTGAATCTGAGTGCACTCTGGCCGCACCCATACTTTATAAGGAATGAAAAGGAGAGATTGTTGTCATGTTACATCATCATCACAGCCTTTTTATGTTCCCACTGCTGGGCAAAGGCCTTCCCTACGGACGGATTAGCGGGCCCAGTTCGGATTGGTGGGCGTTAACGACAGCAGATGCAGCTGAGACCAACGGCTTAACGTGCTTTCCGAAGCACGGTGGAGCTCAAGATAATAAGTTTTTGGTCACCCATCCAATGTTGACCATTGCGAAAGTTGCTTAACTTCCACGTTCGCAGGCTGTACGCGTTAGCCATCGGCGCCGTCATGTTTACAAATACAAATAGCCAATACAAATAACCATGCGAAGTGCGGCATTAAAGGCATACTTTTGTTTTGTTTTAGAGCTATGCACAAATGAATCAATGTCGTTACTACAGTTTGGCGGGCACCTCGTCTTTGGTCTGGTTGCGTGGACGATCCTGGAGTACTCGCTGCATCGCTGGGTTTTCCACCTTGATCCAGGGTCTTCTTTAAAAATGATCACAGTACACTTCCTCATCCACGGATTGCATCACAAGGTGGGTGGGTACTCACATATTAAGAAATTTTACTAGGTATGGCCACTGCCAAAATAAATTAAATTTTTCAGTTGATGCTCTAAAGCAGGGATGGACAAACTTTTCCCTTATCGTCTTGGAAGGGCTTTAATATTTATAATCGAAAAACAAAATCACGTATAATTGAAATGGAAATTAACATTGGCATGGATTTAAATTGCCCGAACAATAAATGATTTGAATTTCATACTGGCTGTAGGTCTTTAAGCAAATATGTTATCCACAGATGCCGTTTGATGGTCTCCGACAGGTGTTTCCCCCGATACCAGCTCTGGTTCTGGCCAGCGTCATCTACGTGCCATTCTGGCTCATCACGGCACACCCCCTCATTAAGATGGCAGGTGGACTCACTGGTAAGGATTGTAATATATTTTAAGACTAGTGGCCCGCCCTCGCTTCGGTTCGGGGTAGACTATAGTTTTTGTTCTCAGGCTTGTATTATACACAATGACTTACTTCAGTTATTAAACGTCAGTGAAATTAATTTACTGATAGTGACAATTTTATTGCTTGGCTTATTACACGTTTAACAGAATGCACCATTGCTCTGCTATTAAAAACAAATCCCCATTACCGTTGATTTGGTCTTTATTATTAAACGTATCAAGTGACGTAGAGGTTTGTGAGCATCCATCACTTTTATCACTCATAATTATTGCATTCACGATAACTTTTAAATGGTATGAAACCGACCGTGGGAATTGTCTTAACCAAAGAGAACTTTCAAAAAATTCATTCAAGACTATATCTGTTACCGGCATAGATTTAAATAGGAAGTGATTTATTTGGATAAGAATAAATACCCGGGCACGAATGATGTGGCCTAGGTTGTACCGGGATTACTATTGCATATTTTAACAACAAGAAAAAGCTTTAAAAGTTCTATAAAAAAAAACCATGTCCATCCTTTAAGTTTGAGTCACCTTTTTCCTCAAACTAACGCGGGTGAAATCGCAGGGGACCTCTAGTGTGACATACTGTAATAGTTAGACCTATGTGTTTTCATACTTTTTGAATTTAAATTAGTAAGTACTTACTCGTGGTCAGGCCTTACATTCTCGACTCTACTCTTGGCAGTTACATACCTAATTTCCAAGAATTGAGCAGAAGTATATACTCGGTCACGTTAACAGAACAGGGAGGCAATCGTCTTAAGGGATAGCTATGGCTATCGCTATCGCTTATGATTTCAATTTCTTATTTCTGACCACCGAGAGTTTAAATATTTTATCTTGCAAGGCTCATCACTATGGAATACACGGGTTACTTCTGCGATGGTTTCTTATTTATCGTGAAGGACTCAGCTAGTGGCAGTACATGGTTACTATTCTAATTCATATGAATCTCCATCAGGCCATCAGGTATTCCACAAGGTTCAAATTTAGGGCCCCTGCTGTTTATTATGTTTATCAACGACCTTACTGAGTCTGTCTATAACCTGAATGTGTATTGCCTATGCGATGTTTAACCCTATTTATTTATTTTGTAATTTAGTTTAAATTTATTAATTCAAAACGAAACCAATACATATAATAATAATGTTAGTTTAAAAATTCTGTTCCAATTTAGTTAAACGTTGTGTGTAACCTTTACTGGGATTCAATTTTGTTGTAAAACCTAATTTAAGTTATTATTAAATTGTTTTCTGTAGTTTTAACTTTAAAAATAAATAAATAAATCAGTTGATTCCGACTCGCAGAACATTTTCTTTAGCTATTGACTTTGGTATTAAAGTCAATGTATTTCACGTTTAAGTACCGTTTTATAAAAAAAAAAAACACTCGTTATCCCAAGCTTTATTAATAATTCTGTTAATTTTCTTTAAAAATTTGATTTAATCCTTTAAGTTAATAATAGAAATTTCGATACAAAATCAGTCTTCTTAATTACTATTTGATGACTAAATACAACTATATGATGTTTCTTTATTTATAGAGGACAAGTTATTGATTAGCCTCAGCTACACTAACCTATATTAACCAATTATGGCTATGTCAAATATGAAATTGAAAGCGATAATTCATTTATCGATATATTATGAATCATTTGTTAGGCGAAATATAACTTACTTTGCTTAAAGATAAGGGAAAAAGTTAACTTTTTATAAAATAATCATCTATTTATCATCATCATCACCAGCCTTTTAATGGGGCTCAGGCCTTCCATACGGATCGGAAGAATCCCTAAGCGGGGATCCCGTGGCTTCGCACTAAGCAGCTTAGAGGGTATTTACAGGGTTTTTTAGCGGATATAATGCTGTAAAGCGCCCGTAAGAGTTACGGGATTCTCAGTGGACAGCCACTGCGGGGGCCCGTAAAGCTTGGGAGCCAGGTGTGAGATCCGTTTGGCGGTGTGCCTCTTAAAGGCGCCGTCGTCTGTAAACAGACGTTTTGCCTGCGTTAACAAAAAAAGGCCTTCCCTACGGATGGAAATTTTTGCTTTGCGTAGAAATAATGTTAATCTTTTTAATGTAGCTCTTGCTGTGTGTCTAGCACTTGACTAGGTTTTCGTTTACAATCCAAATCCACGATATTCACCATTTACATGATTTGATTCACCATTCATATAATTTTGAGAAAAAATATATATTATGAAACAGACACTAAAATTTTACAAAGTAAAACAATTAACTTAAAGCTAAAAAACCTAAAAATATATAATATATTATCAAAAGGAGTCCTTTTAGGCAAGGTTCCGAAGATACTGGCAGCGTTCCCCCTTTGAATAGCTAGACTAATTCTTTATCCGAGGTAGCTGCCAGCTCTTCGGTCACCTGTGATGTCGACTAACATTTTTGTTATTTCCTTAAATAACCTTATAGCGCTAGAACCCCACGGATCAAGGGTCTTGACACCGAATGGGACAAAATCATATTTGGAGCCTAGACCCCTGTATTTACATGCTTTGGTTTTGCATTTTGAGAAGTATTTAAGTAAGAGATGAGAGAGCGTCCGTCTGGGGAAGTAACCTCCAGCTTACAAGAAGATCACTGTAAAATAACAACTTTTGGTGGTGTAGTATTTCAGTCAGTGAGTGAGGTTCCAGGGCTCCACGGTGTAGGGGATTGGGTCAGGTAGGCAACAGTCATCATCATCATCATCATCAACCTATTAATGTCCCCACTGCTGGGGCACAGGCCTTCCCTATGGATGGAATAGGGAGATTGGGCCATGACCCACCACGCGGGCCCAGTGCGGATTGGTGGGTGCTAACGACTGCAGATGCAGCCGGGACCAACGGCTTAACGTTAAGCACGTGCCTTCCGAAGCACGGAGGATACGGAGGAGGAGCCCGAGATAGTAAATTTTTGGTCACCCATCCAATGACCGACCACTGCGAAAGTTGCTTAACTTCAACGATCGCTGCCGAACGCGCTAACCACTTGCGCCATCGAGCTCCTCAGGCACCTCAGGCAACAGTGCGAGTGATATTTTGATATCGCCAGCGTCGGTAGGCTATGGTGGCCGCTTACTATCAGGCCATACGCTTGATTGCCACCCATTTAATATGATAGAAAAAACAGATTACAATTGAGGAGCTGGTGAACAAAACGGTATAATTACGCATCTGGTCAAAGTACTTTTTTCTATAGTCCGGAGGTTTCGGGCCCGTTGAATTTGAATCTCAAATAATTTCCAATCAAAATCGCCTAAAACAATGTTAAAATTACTAAATTTATAAATTAAAAATCATGCCAAAAGCTCACTAGAGGTATGTCATTCAGTTTTATACAGCTCCTGTAAAATTTAATATATGTAATTATACCGTTTTGTTCGCCAGCTCCTCAATAACCATTTCAGGCAAATATATTATGAATTTTTAACTCAACCCAAATTTAATAACGTGAAGAACTATATTTTATTTTAGAATATATTAGTTTTTATTTCTAAGTCAAATAGTTCCGACATTTAATGAAAAAGGTTTTGAAAACAAAATATAACATCCCACTCTTTTACCTATTTAGTTATTATCGAATATAGCAGATAAGGCATTTAAGGTGGGCTCGATAAATTTATAATTGGAGGATTGTTGCCATTGAGTACTTTGAATAGGTATTTATAATATCAGGATTTTGTTATGACTGTACACCTTTTCTGACGCATGGAAAACACATCCATCATGTAATCTTTTCAATTGGAACAGCGATAGTAGATCGTAGCAGACACATCAACTCGGAAAGGGATCGTCGCCGTACTCGAGATGTTCAGTATTATTTGAATGAAACTCCCTACTACGAAGCACATTATTCGGTACAGTTACGTAACCGTCTTGCCTCGGGATAAGCTCCTGAACGTGAGTGGTCAACTCCCCGTGCCCAAGCTTACGTCTCTCTGTTGCCTAGTGTACGTCTCAGTAGCCTAGCTTACGTCTTACGCTTCCGCCGCCCAATCCAACATTGTCCATATACGGTTGCCAGGTCGCCAAACCTAATTGCCGGACAGACCAGCCAGTTTGGCCGGACATTTGGGAAAAGGGCCTAATATTAGGTACGACAAAAAAATATGTAAAAGCGACCGACAGTCAACTCGCTTGCGCTCGGCCACGCTCGGCTCTCGCTCGTTTGCGAAATGTAAAAAGCCTAACAAAAGCCGGACAAGCCGGATACCGTTTATTATGGCCGGAAACGCAATCAAAAATTCTTTCAAAAGCCTTGGCAACGCTATGTCCATAGAGAAAATAAATTCCATTTTAATTTCCGGTTAGGATGGGAAGTTCCGAATGTTAAACGGGATGGTTATTTCTATGATTGATAGAACTGGTCCCGCCTAGCCGTCAACTATCGGCCGGCGAGCCGTAAACGCGGCGTCGCTTAGCCGTAGTCGATCCGAACGTACTGGATCTGTAATTGAACTTTATTGGACATGCAACGCCTACACAAATTCATAGAACTTACGAAATAAACAGACAATAGAAAGAGTTGTAATAATGAATCAATAAGTTTTTTTATGTTGCGAATAACATTTCTCTTTCATCATTTAAGTCATAAATAATTGTTATCTATTTATATGTCAGATAAGCATTATTCAATGAATTAAAATTAGCCATGAATTCCATAATATTAAAATGTTTACCAGTAAATGTATATACATATTTAACTCAATATGAGTAGAATGACTAAATCCAATATCTTATCTTTCTATATCTGAATACCAGAAATCGTATAACCTTATCGTAGGATATTGAAAAGTGATATGTAATAAAGATTAGCAAAACATACGTGATAGTAACTTATCATTACCTGCCTTGAGTCATTGAAACACTTTGTGCCTACGCTGTCATGAGTAGGCAGGTTTAATAACACCATATTCTATATATGTCTACCACCAAAGAGATTTCAATGTATAATTCGTAG